TTCTTTCTTTCCTTTCTTCCTTTCTTCCTTTCTTCCTTTCTTTTCTTTCTTTTAGTGAAATTGATTTTCTCACCCAAATGATGAGGTCCTCGAGAGAAGATCCTTCTATTCACTGATTTGACAAATATCACTGGAGCCCTTATTGTGGGCCAGACCCTGTTCTAGAACCAGGGTCTCCAGCACAGACTAGAGTGATTTCTTTTCCTTCTCTTTGAGTCATGTGTCAGTGGTTGTCCACAGACACTGTTCTGGAGGATGCGTGAGGTTTTGTCACACTCTTGGAACTTGCCCCAGCTTGCACTGGCTCCGTGCAGTTGGCTTTGGTTTCTTTCTGTGAGGCCTGGTTTTTCTAGCTGTGTTGAAAAACACCCAGTAAGAAGACCACATGTTGATCCTTGATCCAATGTGTGCCTCCCGGGCTTGTTTCTCCACCTGTAATTTGTATATGCCAGGGCTGTGGTGAGCTGGAAGTGGGGTAAAATAGCTTGGCACAATGCACATGTTTCTTATTATGTTACATAAGTATATTCAGAGAGAGACGTTCAGTATCCTCTGTCCATCCTTCTCAACCTTTCCTTATCATCCCCATTCTTCCAGACATCTTTCTTTCCTGGGGAAGAGAGGATGCAGAGAATATACAAAGAGCAAGGAATCCAGTTCTTGACTATTGAATTTCAAAATTGACTTTTTAAACTTATAGGAGAGAAAATAATCTTGCAAAGCAAGGTTTTTGATATGCAAGGGCAAGGCTTTGAGAGAGAAAGGATTCACTGAGTTTCAAAGAAAAACTAAAGAAGGAAAGGAAAGGGAAATGATATATATATAAATATACACAAGATAGTTATACTACTAAATGCTATTAGTTCATTGAAAAGAAATGTTTATGCCTCTATTGTTTGATCAGTTTTGCATGCCTATATCTTGAAATATGAGCAAGTACTTTGAAGATAACAGCATGCAATGTACTAGCCATTGTTGCTCTCCTACTACCTTGTTTTGAAATTTTGTACCATTGTTTTTATTGGGTTTTTTCCTTTAAAATAAAAAAAGAATACCTGCAGAACTCCAAATAGCAGTTTTGAACCTAAAGTTTGTTTACCAAATACAGTAGTAGAATGGGAAAAGGACAGGAAAAAAAATAGGCAACATGCTGTGTGGACCGGATCTATGTTGCCAAGGCAGAGGGAGAAGGAGGTGGCCGGGAGAAGTCTGTGATTCTCCATGTCTTACCAAGCTGGCACAGGACCAAGAGAAAATAAAGAAACCTCTAGATGAGTTTGGAGAAATCTAAAGGTGGGAGAACTTTGCACACTGTTCTTGGTAGGAAAGCAACTGAGAAACAGGAGCGATGGCATCAGAGTGGAAAAGCCTAGACTGAGTCTCCGCAGATTTGCGAGAGGAACCAAGGTACCTATTTCCCTGAGATGGACATAGTACTTCACAGAGCATAAAAAGTGAGTGGCCCAAGCTGGTGGCCAACTTTCACATAGCAAGAGGACAAAGTAATCAGTGGCTTGGTAGGCTGTGCAAAATGGAAGCACATGAGAATATGTCCAGTTGTATGGACACCAACACAAGGAAGTGCTGATTGTTTAAGCACACGCCTGGGGGGATCAGTGTTGATAGTTAGTGCCTAACACTGTGAATCTCACTGGCAGCTGACACAGGTTGACTCTTGTTATAGTCAGGATAGGATAGGTTCTGCTGTAGTAACACACAAACCCCCACACTCAGTAGTTTATTTGTCTTTTATTGTGGTTTCATCCATTGCATGTCTGGAGGGTCTTTTAAGTAGCTACTTTCCAAGCAATGACTCATTTGCTTCATTTCAGATTTGACTTTTAGAGTGAAAAAGTCAGTAGAAGAAGAGAGGACTGGAAGGTCACACAGAGGCCTTCTTGCTGCCTTAGCAAGGAAATGGCACATTATCTTGCTCTACAGCCGCTTGGCAGGAACTAATCATGACCCTAACCAATCTACAGAGGAGGCGGGAAATGTAGTCTTCCACATCCCTAGGAAGAGGAAAGTGGGCTGAGACTTGGGGAAATAACCTATTGTTATCTCTGCCACCATCATGAACTATGTCCAGGACACAATGATCCATAAGTCGTGCATGGAACTAAGATGTCACCTTAAGGAGAAAACCCTACATTTCAGTGAGTGTTAATCTAAATCAAAGGCTTATTGAATTCATGTAGGTTTTCATAGAAGTGACTTTTTTCTCATCAGGGGAAAATGGGAGCTAAAGATAGGAAGTAGGTTTGGACAGAAAAACAAGTGAAGTGGAATTTTTACACATATGAGACCATGGGCCATGGCATTTGTGTCTTTGGCATTATTATGGGTTATGTATTATTGCAGCTGGACAAAATCTTATAGATTTTTTAGGTCAGAGGTAGGCTAGCCGTGGCTCATGGGGTCAAATCTGAGTTCTGTGCCTTGTTGGATAGTGTGGACAGTAGATGGGATCAAAGATGAAAGTGCTCGGAACTGTGCCAGATACATCATACATGTGCATCAGACAGTAGCACTTGTGAGCAACCGCTGCTCGAATTAAGATCCAGGGATCTGAATGACATCTCTGCTACTTCCTCCCTACGTACCAAATCTCTTCTTACCATTACCTCTACCTCTAAAATTAATGATGATAATAAGGATGAGTAGGAAGAGGAGGAGAAGACAAAAGAATAGAGGAACTATTTGCTATAGTTTGGACAAATGTCCCCTAAAGACCTGTATATTAGGAGCTTGGGCTTCAGCTGGTGGCACTAATAAAAAGGAGTGGAACTGCTAAGATGTCAGGCCTGGTGGAAAGTCTTCTGGACACATGGGGTGTGCCCTTGAAGGGGATCTGGGACCCTGTTCCTTCCTCTTTCTCTCTTTTGGCTTTCCAGCCACCATGAGGTAAGCAGCTTTTCTGCACTGCCTCATCACAGGCCCCAAAACAATAACGGTGGCCAGTGATGGACTGAATGCTCCAAAATCATGAGTCAAAATAAACTTTTCCTCTTTTTAAGCAGATTGTCTCAGGTGTGTTATAGTAATGGAAAGCTACCTTACATGCTACCATTGATGGAGTTCCTCTGACATGTCAGGCATTTTTATATAACTTACCTCATTCAATACTTAAAATTAGATGTCATTACCATGGTTCCCTGGATGAGGCAAGCAAGGCTGGCAAAGGTTAAGTAACTTGCATAAGGTCTTTGGAGAGGTTTTAAAACATATCCACAGTGAGATCCAACATTTGCTCTGCTCTTCATGAACAGTTGGGCCCTGGGAAATTTACCTAACTAGTCTGAGATTTGCTGTCTCTGCCTATAAAAGGAGAATAATAATAGTACCTATGGTAGAAAAAAAGTCTACTAATTCTTTGACCTTCCCCCAACAATAGATAGGATCTCTGGAACCCTTCCCTTACATCTAGCCTGATCTTAGTCACCTGCTTGCAGCTAAGTGGAAGGCAGCCTAATTCAAATCTTCTCAGCTAAGACCATGTGACTTGCGCCTGTTCTTCACAAGACAACTACATTTGGAGCCCTGGGTTGTTGTTAGGGGTTGAGTTGTGTGATGGTCCAAAGTTTCTACATTGGAATACTAACCCTCAATACCATAGAGTGTGACATTACTTGGACAGAGGATATTTACAAAGGTAATCAAGCTAGCATGAGGTTATTAGGGTGGGCCTTAATCCAATATGACTGGTATCCTTATAAAAATAAAAATTTGAATGCAGGAAGTTTGGACACAGAAGACACAGGAAGAAAACTGATATGACAAATTAAGGAGAAAGCCCTAAAACAGATGGGACCAATCCTGCCAACAGCTTGATCTTAGATTTCTTGCCTCAAGAACAGTGAGACAATAACAAACACAGTTGTTACGCAAAAATCTGACTACCTAAGACCTCCATGCTGTGAGGAAGCCCAGGCTACACGGGGAGGTCATGTATACATGGTACCCTCAGTTGAAGTCCCAGCTGAGAGCCAGCATCAAGTGCCAGACAGTGAACTAAGATGCCTTCAAATAATCCCAGCCACCAGCCACTGAGTCACTCCCAACCCACATCTTGAACATTCGTGGACATGAGGCAAGTAAATTCTCTGTACCCCATCTAAATTCTGTACCCACGGAATCTGTGAACATCAGAGTTAGAAATAGGTGTTTTATGGCACCAAATTTGGGGTGGTTATACAACAAAAAGAACAGGAATGTTCTCACACCTGGTGAAAGTCAAAGCCAAGTTCTGAGCCAAGGTATGCAAACTCTGAAACGTGGCCTCTTCTTTACTCCCCAGTGCCAGATCTGTAGCTTCAGAAGGCACTTGAGTAGGAAGATTTTCACCGAGTCTTGTCCCTGAGGAAGCAGGGCTGGCCTAGATGGGCTAGACCCTGGTTAATCAACAAGGACCACAGCCTTCTCCAAGCGCAGAGGCCTGGCAAGGCTCCTGAAGGCAGCCCTCAAGTCTGATGTCATCCAGGCCTCAGCACTTGTTGACTGCTGGAAACAACAGGCTTTGCTTGAATCTGTTCCCACAACCATCTTGCTAATGGGTTTGTATCACGCTAGAGCTGCTGGGAGGCAGAATATTAGCTGAGTGTCTGATTGCCCGGGTTTAAATTCTGGCTGTGCACCTTGTTAGCTTGGCGGCTCCAGAAAGTTATATAACTCTCCTAGATGATGTATTCATTTGCAAAATGAGAAAGTAAGAGCACCCAGAGGATTTCATGGAGTTTAGTCAAGACATTCTCAGGGGAAGCATTGAGCCGGGGCCGACCTAGCACATAGTCAGTGTGCGAGCTTATGTCAGCCACTATTGCTATTTATCAGCGTTAACAATTGCTCGGACAGATCCGTCTGTTTTCCACAGTATAGATTATTTTAGTGCCTGGAAACTTCCCTGCAGAGGGGGGGAGTCACTGAAACCCAAGAATGTTGGGCTCTTTCAAAAGTGAATTTTTTTAAAAAAAAATTCCAGACAAAACTTAGGTAGCGTAGTTATTACTGGTTTTATTGTTTCTAGAATCTTTGACAAACTCGGGCTTTGAAGCTCAGAAGGGTAGCAATTAGTCCTCTGGTGAAATCACTGGAGAAGTAACGTCTTACCAGGGGACTGAGCTTCGCTTCTTTCCCCCTTTGTGGCCACCATGTACGCCTGGGTCTCCCACCAGGGTCCAAGCAGTAGTGGTAGGATGACGGCCGCATGGGTTCTGCTTCTTCAGGACATTCTGCCTCCCACCTTGATGATTCCCAGAAAGAGAAGGCAGACGTGGGGGGCGGGGCTCAAAGCGAACCCTCTCCTCCCCTCACCCACGCCCCCCACCCCGCATGCTTCTCACTGACAACCTCCTCTTTTAAGAGCTAGACTGAATCACAGCTCGGGGCCCTGGGTGCTCCCGTGCTGGCCACGAGACTGACTGCAGGGTGCCTTTGTGGATCCAAGCTCATTCCCTCCCAAGCAGCAGTCTGCACCACAGCGGTGCTTTGTCAGAAGCGCTTTCTGGGCTTGCTGCTGGCAGGCTGCTAAGTCTTCATCCCGCTCCGCGCGGGGTAAGGCTTGTCCAAATATTTGGCTTCATCCTGCTTTCTGATTCATCATGTGCAGCAACCTCTGTAATTTCATCTACTGCGTGACTCAGACTAGAGCTTAGCACAAGTGCTGTGCACCCGAGGCCTGGAGCCTGCACAGAGGCCGGGCCTGCCACCAGAGCCCGCTGCTCCAGGCCAGCCTCCTGGGCTTGGTGAGAGATGCAGGCATTCTCCAGACCAGCTAGCCTGAGATTAAATCTCTTTCGTCTGAGATGATTAATGGAGCCCCAAACACGCCTCAGCATAGGGTGTGAAGTGCACTTTGTTCCTTTTCCAAGATTTTTTTTCTTTTTAAATGCTAAATCCATTTGCATCTCATAAATTATATTGGCTTCAAAATGAAGCGCTCCTGACAGCAGCAGGCAGGGTGTGGGTTCCATTGAAACATTTCCCCCTAACGTCCTCCCCCCTCTGAGACCCTAGGAGAAATCCTACTTTTAAAGGAGGAGGGAGGAGAGGCAGAGAATGACCTAGATTCCAAATCTAAAGGACAGGTAGAGCCAGCTTGCTCATGCATAAGGTTCCTGGGTTTGGGAAGGAACCAGCAGGAGGAGGCTCTCTTGTGCCCCTGCTTATGGGTGACAGAGTCATCTTCTCCTTTGCTTAAGAATTGTCACAAGTTACAACGGCTGATGGGGTCCCAGATCCCCCATGATTCCCCCAGTGATGTTACCTGGGTGGGTTAATAGGCGGTGATTGATAACAAAGGCAAAGAATCCCTTGTGGAGGTGTGAGGGGCAAGGGAGAAGGGAAAAGGACCTCTGAACAGGGAGTGAGGGAGGTAGTTCAGATACTAGAGTCTCCAGCAGTAAGAAACAGTGGGGTCTAAACCCTCCTTCCACCGTGTTCTAGCTCTGTGGCTTTGGACAAGTTGCTTCTCTCTCTGAACTTCCGTTGTCTCATCCATTTCTGTTTGTCATCATTTCCTGAGCATTCCCTCTGGGTCAGACCTAGATGTCCCAGTCCCCGTTCCTATGTTCTAGACACTGTCCGGTGAATACAACCGTGCGTACCCACAGCTTGCCAGGCGGTGGTGAATATGAAGCAGGAGGTAGAGTATGCTGCCATAGGGACATCAGTGAGCTTCACCAAGGACTGGAGGAGAGGAGTCCAGCCTGGAAGACCCAGAAAAGCAGGAGGAGCCTGCAAGGTGACGGTGCAGCAGGAGCGGGTACAGACAGCACATCCACTGTGGGAGCTCCGGGCATGTCGTTGCTGCTGTTACTCTTTGACCTCTGGTGGTGACCATAGAAATGCATTTGGGAGATGCTGAAAAGAAGGAAAAAGAAAAGCTGGACGGGAAATGTCGTTAAGGCCAGAGTAAATGGCACAGCCATATCTGTCCTGTCATTTCTCGCCACTCCATTCCAGGCCTCCAACTACAAGCAGGCTTCTCACCAGGCCTGAAAGGTCAGCAGGCTGGGGTTTCAAAATCTGCGCCCCAGCCCGGGGCCTGCACAGAGGGCACTCTGTCCATGGTCACCTCCCTGTTCCTGTCCGGGAGCAGCTGCCCAGGGAGCTCTGGCCCATCCTGGGGCCTCAGCAGCTGCCAGGTTGGGGTGGGGCAGGTGAGAGAGGAGAGAAACCCTTCCTGGGCCAGCTGTCTTTTCCAAAAAGCTGTGAACCGCACTGAGGCCAAAGCTATGGTCAGGTTACTCCAGGAAGGTGTGTCTGTGTGAAGTTTTATGTATATATTTTAGATGTCATTTTATTTCATTTCCTAGGATCTTAGCAGATGCGGCTTTTTGGCCCCATGGGATAAGCAAGGAAAAATGAACTCCAAAGAAACATAGGCAAGAAATAGGCAGCAGGACAAACTTTCAGACCCTCTGTTGGGTGCCGGGAGGCAGCGGCCAGCGACCGAGACAGCCATGTGATCCAGGCTGTGATAGGATCTCGTGCGGGGTGTGCAGGATGGGATAGGGAGGTCCTGACGTGGAACCCAGGACCTCGCCCATGCTAGGCCAGTACTCTACCACTGAGTCACACACCCAGGCCAGCCCTGGGGTCCTCTGATCACATCTCCTTATGCCCCATTGAAGGAAGTGAAGGGAACCCTTTGTCTCCTTGCTTAAGGTTCAAAGAGAGTGAACAGAAGGGGCTGGGGTTCACACAAGGTCCTCCCTGGCCTCTCTCCTGGTCAGGCGATGCTGCCATTGTGGCCCTGTCTACTGCCTGCTCCTTGGGGAAATCTACAAGCAGAAGGCCCCCCGCAAAGACCACACTCAGCACTTCCTCCCCCGCTTCCCTTCCCCTTTCACTTCCGGACACTACGGGGCTGTGTCTGCCTCCTCCAAGGGCACAGTGTGCCTTCCCCCCTCAGGGGATGTTCCACAGTGCCAGGCACAGCGGCCTCCCCCAGGGGCTCACTCTGGGCTCACCTTTGTTTCCATAAGGGAGAAGAGAACTCTTGGCAAGCCATGGCCAGGGCGTAGCTTGGACAATGTGTCACCAGTGTGCAGATTCAGCTGAGAAACACAATCCTGCCCAGGCTTCTGCGGGCAGAGGCAGCCGTGCAGATTGCTGTCAAGCGACAGAGGGAAAAACAAGCCTCGGCCCCAGCTGCTCAGCCCTCAGCCTGCCATGGAATAATTCCTGTGAGGGGAAATTGGCCTCTGGGCTCACTCATAAACTGGGGATGCCTTTTGGGTAGGGCCGCAGGAGTTTTGCAGAAATAAGGGAAGTACCCTTGACATCTTGGGGAACTGGAAAGACACCCAGCAAATGAAATCTATTTTACTTTCCTGAAAGGCTAAGGTTGGCCATAATTCTCTGCCTTTGTTCCCCTCCTTTGTCTTGGTTAAATGTTCCTGGCCATACTGTACCTGCGGTTTTATTGTCATCTTTTTTGGAAATGGGCAGGGTATAAATCGGTCAGTGAAATTTTAAAACATACTTCTTTGGTCTAGCATCTAAGCAGACAAAGAAGAAACAGGCACTTAATAAATGCCCCTGGAGCCTGGTGATTTGCATGGGGCTTCTCATAAAAGGCAAAGGCTTGCTTTGAGGTTATAGACACTGCACCCAGGGTGGTCCTCCAGGGTCTGGCCACAGCATGAGCAGTAGGGGTGCCTTAATCTACAGCCCAGGTGCATGTAGCTGCTGGGATCATCTGCCCCCATGGCCACTACTGGGTCTTAGCAGGAAAGGGGAAGGGCCAAGTTCCTGTTCCTCGCTGCAGTCAGTTGTTGTTGCTCCTTGGTCACTTCTCTAGGCAGGGAGGGAGTTTCTTGTCACTCCTGATCTCCTCAAGTCTTCCCTCAGGGCTAAGCCGGTGTCTGTCAACATGGGGGAGTCAGGGCTCTTGCAAGAACTCCCCATTTAGCTACGCCGGTCCCCACTGCTGGACACAGGGAGCTGCAAGTGACTGGGCTACAGGGATAGGTGGCAGCAGAGTAAGCTGAGGCTTTGCTGTGGCAGTTGAGGGCTTGTCAAAGCCTGTACCAGAGTCAGCGGGTCCCCTGACTTATGGAAAAGCCCCAAGAAAGGACTATAAGATGCTGGCCGAAAGATGTTAAGAATGCTTCACATATGTGAGACCAGTTGTAGAGAGAAACAAGCATTATGACAAACCACTCCTCTGCAATCCCTGCTCTTATTTGGAAGGGCAACCATGATGAAAAACTTCAAAAGAAGTCAAGGTCAGTGTGCTGTCCTCAGTCATTAGCCATACACAGATTAGTAGGTTAATACAGAGCTGTCTCAACAGATGAATTACACCCAGAAGCCATGTATGAGTCCTTGGGGTTGACATTGAAAGGTTCAGCTATCATACAGAGAGTGATGCCTGCTTAATTTTGCTAGCACTTCATTATTGTGATAAGTGTCCATTGGAGTTAACTCTTTCATTGCATCTTGTGTTATGGGCTGTGTTTGTGTCCCCCCAAACTTCTTATATTGAAACCGTCACCCTCAGTGGAATGGAATTAGAAGGGGAGGTCTTTGGGATGTGATTAGGTTAGGTGAGGCCAGGAAGGTGGAGCCCCATGATGAGATCATTGTCCGCACAAGAAAGGAAAGAGAATAGAATGAACTCTTTCCACCGTGTGAGGATGTGAAGAGAGGGCGCCATCTACAAACCGGAAAGCTGGTCTTCACCAGACACTGGGTCTGCTTCCACCTAGATCTTGGACTTTTCAGTCTCCAGAAGTGTGAGCTATCGATGTTTGTTGTTTAAGCCACCCAGTTTGTAGTAGCTTAATAACTGTTCAAACCTCCTATATTAGAGTTCTTCAGAGAAACAGAACCCATAGGATATATACAGATATATGAAGGAAAGTATATTACAGGATTTGACTCAGGTGATTATAGAGGCTGAGGTGCCACCTACAAACTGGAGACCCAGAAGAGCTGGTGGCGGAATTCGGCTTGAGTCCAAAGGTCTGAGCACCATGAATGCCCATGGTCCAAAGGCCTGAGGACTAGGGGCTGGGAAAGGGTCCTGGGTAAGTCTTGCAGTCTGAAGGCGAGCAATACACATGTTCAAAGTCAGGAGAGGATGAATGTCCCAGCTAATTAAGGGCACAGCAAAAGTTCATCCTACTCAAACCTTTTTTGCTCTTTTCAGGGGCTCAACCAGTTGGATGATGTCTGCATTGGTGAGGTGGACCTTCTTTACTCCACCTACTGATTCAAGTGCTAATCTTTCCAGAAACATCCTCACAGACACACCTAGAAATAATGTTTCACTAACTATCTGGGCATCCCTTAGCCCAGGCAACCTGACACACAAAAGTAACCATCACAGACACCCAGTGTCAGAATGAAGTTCTCAGCCTCATCTGGATATAAGAGGACTGATCCCTTCTTTCCACAAGCCCTCTGGGATCCTTGGGGAGAACTCTGGGGGTTCAAAAATCTACTATTTCAAAAGGATATATCCTCATTTGCATGGCTTGTCAGGACGCTTTTGGTCAAAAGTAACAACAAACTACTGCAATAAACCTATAAAATTTATTGGGAGGAAATGACTACTCTTTTGAAACCAATATGGAGTTGTACAACTGACCTCAAGAGAGATGGAAAAAAGGCCTAGAAGATGTCAGAAATCCAGGAAGCTACTCCCTGTCTGTCTCTTGCAAAATCCACATATGTTCTTGTTTCTGTTTCCGTTAACCAGTCCTCTGTTCTGCTCTGTGCATGTGGTGGGCAGAAGATGATCACAGCACAACTCCTGAGTTTCTATCTCCTCTCTATAGAACTAGCCAGATCCACCCAAACACTGATTGGTCCAACTTGGATTAGGTACCCAGCCCTAATCCAATCAGCTTTAGGGAGACAGGGCTGTGTTGTGTAGATTACAGCTGCTGGGAATCTTTCTGTGCGGGTTGGTGGGAGAAGAGGCTCAGAACCAAAAGAGTACAGTTACTGTGAGCAGAGAAATCACTCTAAAAGACATGGTCTGTTTCTGAGATCAAATGATGCACAGCGAAGGAAACTATTGATATATGCAAAGACAAATTTGTAAACCACATACCTGATAAAGGGTTAATATCCAAAGTACACAAGGAATGGCACAAAATCCACAAAATCCAAATTAAAAATGGCAACGGACCAAAACAAACATTTCTTAATAGAAGACATACAAATGGTCAACGGGCATATGAAAAGGGGCTCAATTATCACTAATCATTGGGGAAATGCAGATCAAAAACACAGTGAGATATCGACTCTTCTTAGAATGGCTACTATCAAAAAGTGAACAGTTAACAAATATTGATGTGCAGAAGAAGAAACTGTTGTAAGTGGATGGTGGGAATGTAAATTATCATAGCCATTATGAAAAATGACAGAGTCTTCAACAAATAAAAAAATAGAACTACCAAATAATCCAGTAACCCCAGTATTTGGTGGCGAGCCCAAAGGAAGAAAATTAGTATGTCAAAGAGCTATCTGCATTCATATGTTCATTGTACATTATTCACAATAGCCAAAATAAGCAAGCAACCTCAGTGTCCATCAGTGGGTTAATAGATAAAAAGTGTGATATTTAGCATAATGGAATATCATTTTGCGCTTAAAAGGAGGGAAACCTTTATGAAAACTTGGATGAACCTTGAGGACATTATGATATGTGAAGTAAGGCACAGAAAGACAAATATTGAGTAATCTTACTTATATGTAAGTTCTACAAAAGAGAGGATGTATAGAGACAGTGGTAGAGTGTTTGCTTAACATGCACAAGGCTCAGAGTTCAATCCCCAGCAACACACACACACACACACACACACACACACACACACACACAAATTTGGAGCTGACCAGAGGCTTGTGGGGAGGGGCTTTTGGGAAGATATTGGTCAAAAGACAAAAAATTTCAGTGAGACAAGAGGACTAAGTTTAAGAAATCTACTGTACATTATGTTGGCTACAGTTAATAGTAATGTGCTGTGTGAAAGTATACTTTCAATATTGCTATCACATAAAAATGGTAAGTATGTGAGGAAATATGTAAGGTAATTAGCTTGCTTTAGCCATTTCACAGTGATATGCATATATATCAAAATGTCATGTTATGCTCTATAAATACATGAACTTTTATCTGTCCATCTAAAAACGTATCCCCAGTATTTCCTGATGTGAGGGACAGCTTGATGGCACGGCGGGTGGCAAAAGGTCTGGCCTTTCCCAACCTTATTTTCTTGGACTCATTCCGTATCTATTTATTATAACTTGTTCTAGTGAAGGACCAGGTAGTAGTCACTGCAACCTTATTACTTAGTATGCAGGGCAAAGCTTGTATAAAAAAAAATCACACAAAAAATTTCAGTGAGACAAGAGGACTAAGTTCACGAAATCTCCTGTACATTATGTTGGCTCTGCAGAGACTGTAGACATCTGCGCTCACGCTGCGCAGCAGGACATGGGTGTTGAGATCGATCCCTTTCTCTTCTCAGAACCTCCCTTCAGTGGTGTCACAGTGGTATGGTGGAAAGTACATGTTGTAGTTTAGATCTGGAATATTCCCCCAAACTCTCATGTGCTCAGAGGCAGGGCTCTGAAGGTGGTCAGACGGGAGTGCTGTACTCCATGGATTTACGCGCTGTTGAGTTCAGAAGACAAGTGTGCTGTTAGGAGGTGGAATTGTCGGACGGAAGCAGTCACTATGAGTAAGACCTGAAAGGGTGTATCTCCTCCACGGCTCCTTCTTCTCTCTCTGCTTCCTAGCCATCATCCCCTTCCGTGATGCTATCTCTTCCTTGGTGCCACACAACCATGGACTGAACTCTCTGAGACTGTGAGCCATAATAAACCTGTCTTCCTTTAAGTGGTGGATGCCAGGTATTACATCTCACTGAAGAGAAAAGTGACTCAGTGCTCAATTGGACATCAGCTACACCTGGATTTTTACCCACACTCTGCAACTGACCAGCACCTCATCTTTCTAAATCTTGGTTTTCTTATCTGCAAAATGGGGATTATAAGTGACATGTGTCCCTCAGGGCCATCATGAGAACGGAACATTCTTAGTTCAATGGTCAGCACATAGATGGTGCTGAACATACTTCTATCCCTCTAATCCCTCCTCCACCTCCAAGTCCCCCAAGGGAGACACCATTGTTCTTCCTACACCTTTGCCCCAA